GGAACTCCTATGTTTTAAGAAGGCAAAAGCACAAGCTTCTCTCCAATACTAAAACATATGTGGAGGCTATCTAAATCATGGGAGGAATAGATGCAATAGACTAATGACCTCTTAAACACATTGAAACTTACATGGGTGAGATCTAGAACTCAAGAATATAGGTTTAGACAAGTTTTAAACACTTAGGATAGAGAGGATATAATTTAGGTATTCAAGGCTCAAACTTAGGCAAACACAAGTGATAAATTGAAACTCATGATGGTCGTACTAGAACATGCGAGGATGAGAAAGTTTAAGAGCTCAAGTTGCAACATGAACTCAATATTTGAGAAGGTAAGAACTAGAGCTTGTGAGGAGGAGTAATCCAAAATTGTGCTCAGCATTGCCACATTAAAACTCACATGTTTCACTACTAAAACTCACATGTTCTAAGTACATGGAACTAAGTTCCTCTCTACTGCTCTAAAACTTGCATGTCTCATACTCGACACTTGCGTGTTCGAGTGGGCTAAATACAATTACCTCTTCTCTAGAGTCTTAAAACTCACATGTTCACCCTAAAACTTGCATGTTTGAGTATCATAGAATCAAAGGCATTTTTAAATTTTACAATTCATGAGTAAGCTTCTAAAACTTGCAAGTATGGGTTTCACAACTCAAAGAACAATCTAAAGCATTTTATTTAAGATATGCAAATGCAAGCTCTCATGTTTAATCAGGTTTTTAACAATATAATAAGAACTAAGAATATAAAATAAATCCTGTAAGACTAATATTTCTCTTGTTCTTGTATGCTCATTTGCTCTCTTGAGTTGGTTTTGTTATAATATGCACAAAACAAAACATTTCTCAAGTTTTGTTTTTATCGGATCAAAGTATTCAACACACTTTTCATGTAGTTTATGTGCCTTCTGGCCCATGATGAATGCTTTGTTTTCATATTGGGCCTCAGCTCGTTTCACTTTAATGAAATTTTCCTTTCATTGGAAAAACAAAAAAAAAATGTTGGATACAGTTTCGGTCCCAAAAAAAAAAAAAGAACTGTTGAATTCGGTACGCACCAATTATATATATCTAAATTTTCCTAATTTTCAAAATCCATACTGAGATACGTCTCTAAGTCAATTAAAATATTCAGAATAATGAAATCATTATAGATGCACCATTCAGTTAATATTAACTAAACCAAGTCAATAGCGTGTTTGAGTTAGTGGAGGACTGAAAATAATGTCCCCATGATTTAGCCACTAAGATGTGTACGCGTGGCCTGTGCTTGTTTTTTTCTTTTTTGTTTTTATTTGGCTATAGTCATAAATCATAATTTTTCTAGAAACCTATCCCTTTTTCTTATGCAAAGTAAAATTAATTCCAGATAAAGACATTTGGAATTAGTATAAAGTGAAGTGGGGAAACACGAGGTAGAAAAATTAGAATAAGTGAAGAAACATGTCTTCTTTTGGAGAGAAACCATGTCATCTAAGACTCATTGGATTACTAGAAAAGAAGAAAATGAAATGAATTATAGAAATAAAGACAAAAGTAAAATAATTGAACTATGGAAAGGAGATGAGTCAGTTATGTTCATAAAAAAAATATAATTTAATTCATAAGATTGGAAATCATGATTCATAAGACTTTTAAAAGGTATTGTGATTTTCATATTTTTTGTATGTGGTATTAGATTTTATTATGTTTACTATGAGTGGGAGGATCATTTAATTCATTTTTATTCTTATTTCTTTAATCCATCCCATTTTTATCTTTTCCAGCAATCATATGAGCCCCTTATGTCCCTTTGTTTCCTGTTTTTTTCCCACCTGTATGAGAAAATATATTTTCAAAAAAATACAATTTTTATTCTTAAACTTATTCTCAATCATCAATGAAATCCTTAAACTTTGATTTGGAATAACTCAATTCTAATACTTTCTCAGCTCAAAATAACTCTGTTTCTATATTTTCTTAACTCAAAACAATCCAGTTTTTATGATTATTTGATTAGTGCAACTTAATTCTTATAATTTATTAACTCAATAAACTAGAAGGATTAATTAAATTATAATGAATTAAAGTGTAAGGACTAAATCGATAATTAAGGAAAAAAGTTTGAAACTAAAAGTTATATTGTTATATGTCCCTATCTTTTTCTCCTATTTTCTTATGAACTTTTCTCATCCTATGTCGCGCAATATTTTAATCATAATTTGTATGCCAATGTCAAATGGAACTATTATATTATGTCTCCAATGTGACACACAAGTGATGAAAAGAAATTTTATAATAATCACGATTTAACCAAAAATAGTATGGTTTCACGATCAAATACTAAACCAAACAAAGCTTTTGACCACGTCAAAGTGAAAGGGATTAATGTGTAATATAATAAAGTTGAATAAGTATGAATTTAGAATCGATGAGTAGCCTATATAATCCAATTACTCAACAAATGTATCAATACTTGAAAATTGTCAAAATATATTAATTTTGAAATTTAAAACAACTCAAAACAATCCTTATGTAAGCTGTCTCCTCTAAGAATTTAAGATTTGGCATTTTTTAAGTCTCATATAACAAAATTTCTTAAATCACTCAATCAAATCAAACAATTGTTGTTATGCCTATGAGATAGCTATTGAGTGGGTGGATTTAAACTCTTGTAAACTCAAACACGCAAACACAGGTTTTCACATTTAACAAAAGAAAAAAGAAAAAGCAAAATATAAATTATAGTTTTCGCTTTCAGGAATACTCTCCGTGTCCAACTTTTGCTTGTAAATTTGCAAAAGCTAAGATGTGGAAAGGCACAAACATGCTCTGGTGAAAAAAAAAAAAAAAAACAAGGAAAAAGGAGGAAGAATACTAGCCAGGGAATTGCAATATTCAACCATGGCTTTGAATTCTAAAGACGCTTGTCTTAATGAAGAGCAAGAAGATTCACATGCCCTTTTGGCCATGCTTCAGTCTATTTAGTTAGGTCTACTGTGCAGTTCTTAAAGCTTCGCTTGAGCTCAACTTGTTTGAGATCATAGCTAACCTCGGAGGAAGACACGTGTCAGCTTCTGAAGTTGCGTCAGAGCTTCCAAGTTCATCTCAGCACAAAGACTTGGTTTTCGGTATCGATCATCTCTTGAGGCTTATTGCAAGTCATTCTCTTCTGAATTGTTCAATTCGTGAAAAGGAAGATGGTGGCTCTGAGAGACTCTGCGATTTTTCCTGTGGCAAAGCACTTTGTTAGTAGTGGGGACGATGATGGTGGATTCTTGACTCTCTTCTCATTATTCATTTTCCATAAGGCACTTATGGATGTTTGGTACGTCATTTTTTCTTTTAAAAAGAAAAATAATAATACTTAGGTTTTTATATTCTAATGTTAAAAATCAAACCAGTCATTTGATTGGTGAATGCACCAATTCAATGATTAATAGTCACAAGGCCGTGTGAAAAAGTTTTGAGGCTTATAGTGAAATTGTTAGCAAAACTTAATGTGTGCTTTCCCTTTTGATATATTATAAATAAAATTGTGATCAGGTTTAAAGTTCCTTAACGGCATAAAATCATACAGGCATTGATACAAATATTTGGTAATGCGTTGGGCTTTAGAATAAGAAAATGGGAAGACAAAAAGTGAGACAGTAAAAGGAATTCGAGCAGGGTGATATAGGAGAAATTAATATTATATTGAGAATGATTAAAGCTTGTCAGCGTGACGAACAATCAATATTGTTTCTCTCTTTTATCTAGAATTAATATAATTAAATATATATATATATATATATATAACATTACAAATATTAATGGCACACATATATAATATTAGCATTAGGAAATCTTTTGGAGGCCAAAGGTGGAAGTCTCACTCGCCTTGCTATTTTCACGGCCCTGGCTGTCTGAAATGAAGCCAAAAACATAATCGGGAAGAGGCAAGCTAAAAATCTGATGGAGCCAAGGACAAAAGGGTAATTTTACATAAGTCTGACAAGTGAAAGAAATTTGAATAATCCCACTCAACGTCAAAGGAATCGAATCTGGAACCTTTGATTTAAGCTCGATAATGCTTATCACCAAGCCCTCAGTTTACTTTAGCAAATTGACCCCCAAAGATATAAAATTATGATTAATACACCTTGACATAAATTTTATATTATTATTATTATTATTTCCTGGGTTATTACATCCATATTTCTTTGGGGATTCGAATCCAACGCTAGAAAATTGACACCAAGAGAGTTTTCATTAAGCCACCACATCTTTCTTGTTATATGTGTCTCAAAATTAATAAAAACATATTTCAAATGCCTTACCATAAATTTTAAATTTATACGTAAAAGTTTGGGTCATTACAGACTATTCCTTGTGTATATATTTTGTAAGTTACTCAATTAATGACAACATTTTATCCAATTCTCTCTGACTTCACTTAACATAAAAGATGCAGATGAAATTGTTATTTTTAGATATGAACATGTATATTTTGATGCAAGTATAGTTATCGATTAAGATTCAAATGAAATTCTTTGCGGTTAACTTAAGTAGTTTTTTTTTTTTTTGTCAGAGTTAACGTAAGCAGTTCAAAATGAAATTCTTCCACTTAATCAATTTTCATTTGTCAATACCCTATGATTGTCTCTTGCTTTACTGTCAATTTTAACAGCGTATAACTAATTATCTAGTTTAAAATGAAATTCTTTCACTTAAATAAGTTTTATGTCAATATCTTGTAAGGAAATTGTCGTCATTACCAATCATCTTGTTAATATTACCCGTTTCTCTATTGTCAATTTCAACAACATATAATTTATTTACATTTTACTTAAGTTCCTGAGGATTTTAGAACCATTTCTATTTTTGGAGACCTTTGAGTAATTACAAGAGCCCTTTTATGGGACTAAACAGTGATTTTTCCATTTTTAAAACAGAATTGGTTTTGAAGTCCAAGTTGGCTACTCTCTCCCTCTCTCAAAATCTTTTGCCTATAAATATCTATTCCTTAATATGCCAAACACACAAACAAACAGAAGCATGGCTTTGGATTCCAGAGAGATCAATCATCATAAGGTGGAAGAAGATGACTCATATTGTCTTTCTGCCATGCATCTGTGTTGTAGTCAGATCTATTCTGCAGTTTTAAACGCAGCTCTTGAGCTCAACTTGTTTGAGATCATAGCTAAGGAAGGAGGAAGACACGTGTCAGCCTCTGAAGTTGCCTCAAAGCTTCCTAGTTCATCTCAGCACAAGGACTTGGCTTCCAGAATCGATCGTCTCTTGAGGCTTCTTGCAAGTCACTCTCTTCTGAATTGTTCAGTTTGTGAAAAGGAAGATGGTGGCTCTGAGAGACTCTATGCGATTTCTCCTGTGGGAAAGTACTTTGTTGGTGGGGACGATAATGGCGGATTCTTGGCTGTCTTCTCATCATTCATGTGTCACAGAGCACTTATGGATGCTTGGTAAGGTTATTAATTGATCTTTTATACTGATATGGACTCATTATTCTCTCTATTGTTGCATTCTTTGATGATGAAAGAGATTGAAAAGGTTATCATGAGACCAATTTACCATTTTCTTTTAAGTTGTTTATTGGAATATTGCGAAATCCCTCTAGCTATATTTATAAGGTAGAGAGATAATGATATTTTTTTGGTCATATTTATAGAGTATGTTATTAACTTCTTATTTCAAAGTTTTCCCTTTACCCTATTAAATATTAATGAGAAAAAAAATACTCTCAAGTCCTATTTAGAAAGTATAGAGAGAACAATTTTTTTGGTCATGTTAACTTTTTACGTTCTTAGAGACATGGTTAATGAGTTATAGGGTTTTTCTCTTTTTTTTCATAAAACATAATTAAATTTACTTATAAATAGGGCAAAGGAAGTATAAAAAAGACATCTTAACTCATGATGTGTATGTCATGTGATAAGACTTTTCTTCGTATATATTTGATTTTATAAGAAAAAAAGTTTAATGCATGTGAAAGATTATTGTATTCGATGAATTCGATTATATTGATAGCTACTAAGGAAATTAATGGATTGTAATTTCTTGGTTTAACGTTTAATGAGTTTACATTCAAATTATATATCCTACTCACCCAATTAAAATAAAGTTGCATCAATCAAACTCAAAATTACACAACTCACTACTAACCCAAAAAAAAAAAAAAAAAGAGCACTTCCATATTCAGCACTCCCACAGGATAGGAGCCCTTGTTTTTTATAAGCGTTTTGGTATATTCTGCTTCAATATTTAGGAGCATTTGTATACAGAAGCGTTCTAATAAGAGTACTCTTATATATCTTTTTTGTAGTATTGACTGTATGCTGTCTTGCTGAGCATCTGGCCGAACAACTTAGAAAATTAGAGAAGTCTTAGAATTGATTACCACCATAGCCTTTCATTAAAAAAACTACTTGAAGTCTACATAACAATACATTAGTAGTTTAGATTTACTGAAGTTTCACTATATCGCTGTCAAATAGCTATCATCATTTTGTTTAATAATTTATCAAAGCCACCTAATGCAACAAGCAGACAAAAATGAAGAAAATCAAATATACCATCTGAAAGAGTGTTACATTTATGTTACGTAATACATTGTTTAAAGTGGGAGGTTATTTTAATTAGCGAAAAATGAGTGTAGGACTAAATTCAATGAACTTATTTCTAAACAATTAAATATCATGACAATTAAAAGATTAATTTACGTATGTGTAGTTTTGTAAGTATTGTTAGCGTCTGCTATAATATAATTTTTTTATATTATTTTTCTGTAGAATTATACGGTTCCGTGTGAAAAGCTTGCAAACAGTTATCTCAAAAAAATTCTAATTTACATAATAAAAGTTTTAATGTGTTAATTGTTCCAACTTTTTTTTTTTGGGTAGGTTGAATTTTAAGGATGCAATCATAGACGAAAACAATGACTTGTTCAAGAAAGTTCATGGCATGCCAATGTACCAATATGCAGAGAAAGATCCAAAGTGGAACAGTATTTTCAACAAAGCAATGGCCAACATTTGTAAGATAGAGATGAACAGAATATTGGAAATATACAAAGGATTTGAGGGAATATCAACACTTGTTGATGTTGGAGGAGGCACTGGTCAAAACCTTAAAATGATCATCTCCAAATATCCTTCAATTAAGGGCATTAATTTTGATTTGCCCCAAGTCGTTCAAAATGCACAACCTGATCCAGGTACATATTATCATCTCTATTCTCTAAGGGGTGTGCGTGCGTGTGTATGTGTAATATTATTTATTTTTTTATATCCTGTTATATTAACATCAGAAATCTCTTCTGCCATGATCCACACAAAGAGATGGAGACAAATGATAATGGACAAGAGCATTCCATATTATGCTATCTTTATTTAATTCTATGGATTTTGTGGTTGGTGAGATTCTAATTACATTTTAAATATTTGCATAATATATTTGATCAAGTTGGAAAAGAAAATATAGAAAGTGGAGACGGACTCTCCTTATAATTAATTGATCTTTGCATCAAATCATGAATTGATATTCTGATTGAGCTAATTTTGAGGAACAATCAAATTCTATATGAAGGGATTGAGCATATTGGAGGAGATATGTTTGAAAGTGTTCCAAAAGGCGATGCCATAATACTAAAGGTTAGTGTGAAACTTTAATTTGTCTTATTAGTTACAATTTCAAATCAGATTTGATACATAAATTAATTTAAGGACCTGTAACTAGAACATAATGGATGTACAAAGTGGCCACTTTCTACATCTATTTTAAATAAGACCAGCGTCAAAAGTAACATTTTACATTGATTGTAGAGACAACTAGTATCAAAAGTAGAACCCCTGTTCTATTTTTTAAGAAAATATAACATTTTCTACATCAGTTGTAAGTATAATTGATATAGAAAGTGGACTTTCTCTACATCTATTATCATTATAACTGGTGTAGAAAATAGACTGATTCAATAACTGATACAGAAAGTCTTTAAAAATATAGTAGATCAAAGAAAATTAATTAAAATTCAGGTGTGTGAGTGTGTGTGTGTGTGTGTGTGTGTGTGTGTGTGTGTGTGTGTGTGTGTGTGTGTGTGTGTGTGTGTGTAATTGAGTTGGGTTTATATGAAACTAATATCAATCTTGATACACTTTGATTTACAGGCTGTATGTCACAATTGGTCAGATGAAAATAGCATAAAAGTATTGAGCAAATGTCATGAAGCATTACCAGAAAAAGGGAAGGTGATAGTGGTGGAATTCATAATGCCAGACACAATTGAAGCAACAGAAGAAGCCAAGTTTGTAGCAAGCATAGACAATCTCATGTTCCTTCATGATGGAAGAGAAAGAACTGAGAAAGAGTTTGAGTCCCTTTGCAAACGTTCTGGCTTTTCTGGTTTCAAAGTTGCTTGTCGTGCATTCTCTGTTCTTGGAGTCATGGAGTTCTGCAAATAAATATAATCAACTCATGTACTTTGCTCATTAGCAGTGTGATTCAGAAGTGTTTCCAGACTTTGTTTGCTAAAAAAAGAATGTACTCTCTCATATTAATGAATTTGAAATTTTATTATACCGTTTATTTAGAAAATTAATTTCTGTATCAATATACTCCCTTTAGTCCCTTTATTATAAGTCACATGTTGGATATTAATTAAATTTTTTCTATATTACATCTATTTAAAGTCATTAACTATAATACGAAATGTAATCCAAATTTTAAAAATTTTCATTTAAATATAGATAAAATTAAAAATTTAATTTATTTTTTGATAAAGTTAATAATTTAATTACCTTTATTCTAGTTAGATGGTTAGATGTGTGTTATAATAAAAATCATATTGAGCATATAATAAATATTACGGTAAGTTGCACTTTTTATAATTCATGAATAGTATCATTATTTTTAAACTCTATGCAATATGCATGGAGATACCAATGTGAGTGCACAAGATTATAGGGGTTTCCCCCAATAATAATGGTTAACTGGTTTCAAATAAATTAGTGAAAAGCATCATTGGGTTACTGTCAATTAGGTTCTTACTTTAATCATATGACATATGACAATGGTATAATAAATAAACCACATATATACCTTTGATTTGAGAGAAATTTACTATAACGGTCAAATCTAACATTTCAAACTTCACCTTCTATATCTGAGGACCATCTTGTGATATTTTATCAAGAGTTGTTCAGCTATGTGTGATATGTGTCGACTTCAACTTTATTCATTGGCTTTGTACCTACCACCATTGCTTGATTCAATGTAATTAAAACCAAATTTCAAAAGCTTAGCACAGTGATAGTCTCTATTGTTGAAAACTTTATAATAAAATCCATTTAATTTAAAAACAAAACAATTAAATTAATTCATAATATTAAGCTTTCCGTTTACAGATATATTAATCATCAATTATTATTATTATAAATTTTGGATTGAATATATGTTTTTATAACCAATTTACATTATTAATCAATTGTACAACTTACTATGAATTATATGTATAAGCAGGCTCACTTGGACGGAAAATATTAAATCAAAAGTATGAGTATTAAATTGTGAAACTATTGACATGATAAATTTAAATAAAATAAAATCAAAATTTTTGAATTGTAACTAATATCTATTAATTAACTTTATTTTATTCAAAAATATGTCCATATCATATAATTAAAATATCTTATAACTATTTTTATATTATGTATACTTTTATTTTTAGATATTATTTTAATTTAAAGTGGAAAGATAAGTACAGTGATAATTAAGTGATTCTGCCCATGAGAAGCAAGTGAACAAACTCAGTGCCCGTTTGGATGCAACGTGGGGAAGTTTAAAAGGACTGTTAGCAATTAAATGCACACATTCACCAAACCAGTGTTTGGATAGAAAATCTTGTTTTCTCAAATTAAAGCCCATTAACTTATTTTCTCAAGAGAAAGTTCATTCTTTTCCATTTGGAAATGTTGGTTGAGGTCTAATACTTATTTAACTGATGATCATGATACCCTCTAGTATTCTACCATTCATCTAGTCAAAGGTTGTAAATTTTGGAAATTCATCATTTAACTGTCTTTGAATTATGTTGTGAAAATAATTATGTTGACGAAAGTCCGGGTTACATCTTGTTATGAATTATATGTTGCTGAAGCTGCAGAACAATCTAATTGATGCTGAGGAAGTATATCTTTGGTTCTCCTGAATTTCTACAAAAACACTCCGTTGATTTTAATGGAAACTAAACTTTCTGATAGTAGGTTTTGTAAGTGTTTTCAATTCTGTTCCTTTGACTTTGTAAAAACTGTTGAACCCGTGGGTCGTAGTGGTGGCTTGGTTTTGGCTTATTATGCTCTATTTGTTGATTTTGGTTCAAGCAGAACCCGAAGTGCCAAAATATGAGTAATAACACAAGATTTGAGAGCTTGTTTGAATGTGTTTCCATCTTTTATTTTTAAACTATTTTGCAATACAATTTTTAAAATTATTTTTCAAAATAAAATAAAAAAATTATTTGATTATGTTAATTTTAAAACCAATTTAAAATTATATATTGTGACTAATATAAATAAAGCCACCATGACAAATTATAAACATATACTCTCTTCGTTTAAAAATATAAGGCATTTTTTAAGGAATTAGATGCTTAAAAATATAAGGCATTTTGATCTTTCGAGATGTCATTGCCTTTTTTTCAAAAATGTTTATATTGATAATGACTTTATATTTATTGTAGGATATTTAATAGAAATAAATATAAAAAGATAGAGTTAATTTAAAAATAAATAATTACTTTATTAAAAAATAAAATTTAATTAAAAATATTTTATATTTTTACATGAAAAAAGGTATATAATGCGATCAAACTTAGGAAGGTAGATATAGAAAATTTTTAAGGTCTCAGTCATACATTGCACGAGAACGAGTACAGCTGTTGTCAAACCATGCTTTGCAATTGAGTTCAATGCGTGCACGCGCATGCGCACGGAACCGGATCCTCTCATTGTCGCTTGTCTCAGCTTATCTCCAAATTAAATGTATCAGTAATCAATTGGTTCATAATGAGCCACGTCAAAAGGATTTTAAATAGAAAATTGACAGTAAAGTAAAAAAAAAAAAAAACAAAGAAATCAAAGGTTTTTTTTTTTTTGGGAAAACTTTTTGAAAATTGAGTTTCAGTTGGAATCAGTTTTAATGCTCATAGATCAATTTAAATGATCCAGATTTATAATTTTTTAACTTTTATTTTTTAAAAAATATTATTTTAATTTTAATAGACATAAATCTAAAATGAAGGCCATCTTTTAACTGTTAGTTATTCAAAAAAAATTATTTAAAACACCAATTAAAAAATTATAAATTTAGACCATGAAAATTAAATTTGAACAATTCAAAAGTAATGAGCTCTTAGTGCTCATTTCTATGATGAGCACTGAAATCGATTCTGATTCCAAACAATTGCAAATAGGAATCCTAGTTATAAATTGAAAAGTATATTTAAAATTTAATATTTTATTTCCAATTAGAACATGTGAATTTGCAATTATTTGAATAAATATTTATAATTTATTTTTTTAGAAAAGAATTTTCTAAGAACCTAACTATCATCAATTTATTATTTTATGACTTAATTGTCATTCATAATAAATTAATGATAGTTAGGTTGTTAATAAAAAAATTAAAAAATAAATTACAAATAGTTATTTAAATAATTGCAAATCTAGATGTTTCAATTGAAAATAAGATATTTAAATTTTAGATGTAACTTTAATTTTATAATCAAAATTCTTATTTGTAACTATCTGAATCAATTTATACAATTTATTTTTTAGAATGTTTTACCAAAAGATAACTATTATTTTTTTTTTTCACTTTACTATCATTTTCCTTTTAAAAATCTTTATGATGCGGCGTATTATGGACCAATTGATTACTTAGACGTCCAAGATTTACAAATTTTGAGAGCCGCTGCGAGTAGCGACAATGAGAGGATCCGGTTCCTATACGCACACATATTTTGACAATCAATGTCATTGGGTTAAGAGAAAGCGAAGAGGAAGCCTTAACTAAGCATGAAATAAATGAAGGGAACTAGGAACAATGACAATTACGGATCTTATAAGGTCATTAATTATAATTAGAGATTTCAAATTATTAAAATTTTAATAATAAATTATGACACTTATTTGAAATAAAAGATATATATGAGTTTATAAAATTACACTCACTTCAAAAATCAAAACAAAAACACTATTGAAGTTACTATACAGGGGTTGAGACTATTATTAATTTTAATTAAAAAAATTAGGATGAAATTAAAATTTACTTGTGAAACTTATGAAGGGCACTTATGAATATAAGAAAGTTACTTGAAAATTCATTAAGATCACTTTTAAATGTCAAATCAATCACTTATGAATTTTTATACTTATTAATATATAGGTATACCACTTGAACAATTAAAAAAAAACAACATTGAAATTACTATCATGAATTAAAACTATAATTAATTTCAATTGAAAAAATCAGGATCCCAAATTTTATGGGCAAGGACTATTAAAATTATTATTATTTGTTGGAATTATTATTAATCTTAGTCCTAAATGTAGATCATAGTTTTTTCAAATGAGATTAACAATAATCTCAACTCATAAGAATAATTTCTATACTCAAAGTCAGTTTTGTAAACTCATATATATTTTTAATTCCAGATAAATACCACGGTCTTTTATGAAAATTTTAATAATTTAGGATCTCTAATTGTAATTAGTAATTTTAGGGGCACTTAATTGTCATTTTGCGAGGAACTATTTGAATTAATTGGGTCACCCTACAATGGGAGCAGCCACCTCAGATGTCACGGGCGGGGTTGTGCCTTGGTTATCATCGACACTTTTCAAGGAAGGATACAATTATGGGAGGCAGTACCCTGGTTAAAAGATTGCGTCTGCACAATTTGAATTCATTAATAAAACTTATTTTATTACATTTTTTAAATACATTTTGTTTTATTTATATTTTATTAAATGAAAAGTATTTTTAAAAGTTTATATTTTATAATAAAATTAAGATTTCAAATTGTATTTAATTAATTTCATATATATTTATAACTTCACTATAAAATGAGATATATTTCCCTCTTGACTTTTACTTAGAATCGAGCATACATGTCATTAAATTATATTATAAGGTCACAGGACAATCTTGACTCTTACTTAAATGGCTAATTTGAAGCATTGTTTTTCCAATAGCCAAAATATAAAATAATTTTACAAAAGAAAAATAATAGAAGTTGGGTCTAGCATATAGAGCTAGTCCTTCATGACCTTAGCGAATCAAGGTTTGAATCATCTGGAGAGATGCTCACATTTAGTACTCAATCCTGTCTGTCTCAAGCACCTCTAATAGAATGGTATGTGTGAGGTTGTAACCCTTATAGTATTCTAATTATATTTTTGGCTTTTTATTTAAAAATTATTTCATGAAAACAATTACTTTTAAAAAATTATTTCATGAAATTTTATTGTTTTTTTAACTTTTCTAAAATAATCAAAATTTAAAAAACTATATTTTTTATTATTTTAACTAGATAGCTTC